TCGGCAGCCGTCTCGAGTTGTGCTGAAGCCGACGTTAGACAATCCCCCCAACTTTAGTCTCTAGGGTGTTGGGCAAGCTCTGGTGCACATCTCGCCCGTGTTTATTTATCCTCAGATAACGTAAGGTCGTAATTGTTGAGGTCTTTAAATACTTGAAGACTGAATTCCAATATTATAAGGGAAAAGGTGGGTCCTTTTCCTCGTTTTTAAGGTTGCATGCTTCCCTAATCAATTGTTAGGTTAAAAGTGAAAAATTTAATTCTGACTTTGCCACGTCTGCACGTATTGAAATTTAGACTAACGAAAATGTCTTCAGACACTTAGGGGATAATTCTTTGGAAACTAAAGACTAATGTCTGGATTAATGTACCTTTCGAATTAATGTACCCTTTATTTGGGATTTTTCAGGGTTAAATAGGCTTCTGTGAATGTATGTTTTTAAGGGTCAACCCCTAAGTTTGTCATACATGTTTTAATGCCACTTTTCCAAACACTATTTGAATTGTTTCTGTTTTCCAGGATACATCTTGTAAAATGTCTTTTTACACATGATAGAACTTCCTGTGGGATTAGTTATATTTTTTCCTACCAAAATTTGCGAGGCAAAATGACAGTCGTAGTCACTTGGTTGTCAACCCAAAGGCAATCTCTGGAGACTCAAAGATGGATAAAATTTAGATCTTGTTCTCAAGGAGGGAGGGGTGCGTGCATGTAAAGGATCATTAAAGTAAAATGCATCAAAATGTCTTAAATGCAATGGGGGAGGGGTGCACCCTGAATGCTTTGAGCTCAAGGAAGAGCATGGGGGGGGGGGGCTTGCCTTTAAATAGGATCTTGATTGAATGGGCCAGCTCTGCTGGAAAAAGGGGCTTCTCTGAGTGCATTCTAAGAACAGGAATCATTAATTTCATTCTTTAGCTTCTATCAGTGTGGTCCATGACTTCTGTGTCAGGCAATTTTTTTTCTATCATTTGGTGTCTTCACTGTTACTCTTCAAAACTTACTTTAGGGGTTTATTCCAATAACCACCTATCCAAGCTGTTTTGTAAAAGCCATGGCTTTAATTCAAGAAATTTAATTATTTATATTAGTCATATTCTCATTTCAGAGAGACTTGGGAGGTTTTGTTTTAACTCGGTATCATCAAATGAAAGCCATCTCTGGAAGTTAAGGGACAAGGATTAATTATGGAATGGTTGGGTAGTAATTGTTCAGGCAGGGGTTTTGCCCATTCTGAGATTTACTTAAAAATAAGCTCTTCATTTTCAGGTGACTTTCTGAAGATAAAATGTTATATATTCAAGTTAGAAAATCTAAAGTAAGACTTAAGTTTGCAAATATGTATAGTAATGTAATCATTTTCCTCCCCTGGTAAGTTCACACTTTTCCAAGTTGATTGCTACCTAATAGTAAATCCGTGGCTAATCAGTTTCATAGTCTATCAGATTTCATTGAGGTCCTTTTATCTTAACTCTTGATTGGCTGTCTAAATATATGGCACTTTTAAAAAAATGTGCTTTTATTGATTTTAGAGAGAGGAAGGGAGGGAGAGATAGAAACATCGATGAGAGAGAATCATTGATTGGCTGCCTCCTACACACCCCCTACTGGGGATCGAGCCCGAAACCCAGTCATGTGCCCTGACTGGCACTGGAACCGGAGACCTCTGGGTTCATGGGTGGATGCTCAACCACTGAACCACACCAGCCGAGCAAGTGAGAATTTGAATGGGACTCGTCTACTAAGATTTCATAGTTCATCACAGATCTGCTAAGCCACCTGGCATTGCTATCATGCTGCTGGCTGGATTGCTAGTTTTAATTTGATCTGGGTCATCCAATATTTGATTAATTTTAAGGGAGAGCTTTGCCATAGAGACAGAAGTACAGGTTGAGTTCCCCAATAGCTTGTTTTCAGTATATGGAAACCAGAAGAATTATTTACTTCAGACCTGTTTTTGGAAAATTCCTGTTGGTCTGGTATCATGGGTGAGAGACCCTGGACTTTGTTTTCTTTTTTTGTGTGTGGCTGTTTTTTTAATATATTTTTATTGATTTCAGAAAGGGAGAGAGAGTTAGAAACATCATTGGTCAGCTGCCTCCTGCATTCCCCCTACTAGGGACGGAGCCTTAAACCCGGGTATGTACCTTGACTGGGAATCGAACCATGACCTTCTGGTTCATAGGTCAATGCTCAACCACTGAGCCACACCAGCCGGCTTGGCTGGTTTATTTAAATAATGATTGCATTTAAATGAGCGTTGTGTATGGCGCACACCTACTTTACAGCTGATGCTTGGAACAGTGCCAGGTTGGCATTTTCCTCATTTTTTCAAATGAAACCCTGAAAGGTGGGGTGATTTGCCCAAGACCAGGCAGCTAGGAGCAGATCTGGACCTTCACCTCATTACACTGTGTTGGTGTCCTCAAGCGAAGTCATTTCATTGTGGAAAACTAAAGAACCAGATACATTTTAAGTTAAATTTAGTTTTAGACTAATATTTCATTTACATGAAAACAGGTTGAAAGTGGAGGGGATTTGAATAAGGAGGAATTGGGTCTAAGTGTTCTTCATTGAAGGAGTTTACAGAGGAGCAGATTGAAACTAGTCCTAAAATATTGCCAGGAAGGGGGAGGGGGCCCTGCTACCAATCAAAAATAATGTGCCTATATTTTGGGGAAGTCATTTGATAGCATGTCTCATGTTGATGACGTAGTTCCATCTGTTTGATGTCTTCCCAGCAAAATAATCTGCTCTTATTTTTCATTACAGAGTCAACTGTTCATTTTATTTCAAAATTGGAGCATGTCGTCATGGAGACAGATGCTCTCGGTTGCACAATAAACCAACCTTTAGCCAGGTTTGTTTATTTTTTCTTTTTTTTTTTCTGTTTTCACGTAAATTATCAAAACTTGTACTTTACAGAGCCAGTTAATAATTTCCATGTATAAAGGGGACCTTTATTTCTCTAGTTGTTTTATTTTCTATTTATGTTCATAAGTGAGCATGTTCGTTTGTTTCAATGGATGAGGCAGGTGAGTCACCCCAGTGGAAGGTCTAAGAGCATCATCCCCTGTTTTTATCACTAGAGAAACCTGTTTAAAAGAAGGTTTTAGTTATGTGCATGTGGGCTAGGACAGGCCCTTGCCCTACCACCCTCCCTGCAGCCTTGCCAACATTGACTGAGCCTCTTCCAGGCATGGGAGATGCAAAGCAGGCTTTCTGTTCTTTGCTCTCCCTAGGCAGCCACCTTACAGGAGAGGCTGGGGTGACTGCCATGCCCTCGGTTCTCCAGGCCTGGTGTGTTCCCTTTCTTAGACCCTTAGTCAAGGCAATAGCAAGTTGCATCATGACATAGAAACATTAAAAATGAAACTTAACACTAGAAGATGGGCATTCAGTTCAGTGTTTTGTGGCCAGTTTTATTCAGTTAATTGAGAGATGCCTGTTATCTTGGGTTTAGGTTGGCTATGATTTGGTTTAATTTTAAAAATTTAGATTTTTGATATTTTTGGTTAACCGAAGAAAAGGCAAGACTTTGTACCCTGTAAGTGATCACTGATGTATTAAAGGGAGAATGAATGCACCTCTAATACTAACAGAAACTTATGCCCATGTTTACCAGAATGTTGGGAATTTGAAAAATTTGTTGATCTCCTTCTGACCGCCCATGAAGTCTGAACATGCAACTTCTATTTTTTGATTTTATTACTATTGGGTAACTATTGTATCTACCTCTGGAAACTGCTAGACTCTACTTTGAGCTCACATCTTTCTGTTCAATTGGTATAAGAGAGACATTAGTATTTTCTAATTTAAGCCCATAGAACACCCCACAATTTAACTTGCTTTTAGAAGGGGGGTGTGATGGCTTCCCTCCCCCCATCATTCCTGATTACCAAGTGGTTAGTATAATAAAAATCTATCTTAATAGCTTTGAACATGTCTCAAGTTTCAGAATATTGGAGAATTTGCTTTAAATTTTCTGTTCTAATTTTTTTAAGTGCTTTAATTTATAATTGAATTTTGCCACTCAGCCAGTGGCCATAGATTGGGCAGTAACCAAGCACTTTAAGTATCCCCTGAGCATTTTATTTTGGAGGGCTGCTTATAGATGTACCAAGTGATGGGTTGAGAAAGAAATTGTCCCCTGTTACAGTTTTCTTTAAGCTACCAAGAGACACCTGGCTTCTTTTCTTTCTGAATCATTGGTTGTGGGGAAGCATAGGACTTGTTTGGAAAAGTCAAGGCAGGGGTTGCCACCGTTGGCCATCTCTCCCTGGAGGCCCCCGATCTTTTGGGGATTTTTCCTCATAAACTTTCCAACCAAGTCCAGTGCTTCCCCACAGTTGATTACCTCAGTATGTTAATGTCAAGTTAATTTGAGCACTTTGGATCAAAACAAGGCAATGATTCCATTAAGGTTTGATGGGGTCAGCTGTATTTGTTAACTTGAGTGTCGTATTTTGATTTGGTTGGTTGATTTTAGGTAATCTTAACCACCCCTAATCTTAGTGAACTGCATTGCCCCTTTTAAATGACAGTTCTTCCTAAACAGCCACTGCCAGGTTACCTCAGTGAAACTTAACATTAATTTTCCTGTTGAATAATTGGGCTCAGTATAGCTTTCCATTATTGTCATACTCTGGTAATTCCAGTTGAAAATACGAAGTTGGCTTTGGGAAACATCCGAGGCCCGGGATAGGTTGTCTTGGGCAGTGCTCAGGCCCTGAGTGGTGGAGGGGCTGCATGTCACAGGGGTGCTGCCTGCTGTGGGCAGTTCTTGCAAGTGGGTTTCCCAGCAGCAGGCCTTTGACTGGGGAGTGTTTACACAATCCCTCCCCTTTAAACATAGCTGGAAATGGAACTGGCTCATTCTGTAAAACCACTTACAAAACTGCTTTGGACATATGTTGAAACTGAACATTTATTTTTCTAAATCGTGTTTTATTGGTTCAGCTTGTAAATATCTAGCATAATTCAATGTGGGTTTCTTTTTACGCTTCTTACAGTGATGTGGACATTAAGATTCATGTAATATATTAGTCTACTAACTTAAACATGGTTTGTTTTTTCAGACAACTTGATTTTAAGAAGAACGGTACAATGTAAGGTTTCAAGTCTGCCTGATCCAGTTTAAAGCAGAAGGGCTAAAAAGGATTTATTCCCTTAAGAAGGATCGGAAAAGAGCAAATGTTTTAAGCTATTGTATTATGTAAACAGAGATCCCACCAAGAAAATGTAAATCTGATAGGTGTCCGGGACAGTTAGGAAACCATTTGGTGTGCTGTTTCCTACGAGACCAGAGAGCTGGATGGACTGCATACAGTTGGGTTATGCATTTGTTTTTTTAAAAGGATTTTGTATGGGGAATATGATTATAATGTAAATTTTTCAACATCTTAGTGTCTGCTAACTTGAAGTGTAGGAAAATGCTAATGTCCTGTTACTTATCTTGCATTAAAACATTTTTAAAATGTGGGACTACTTAAACTAACAATTATTTTTTCTTGGTTGCTGGCTGACTTGACCTAAGTCACTGCTCAAACTCTGTTTTCATAATATGATGGTTTGGGTGTACTCTTCAGAAGACAATTGTGTGACTTGCGGGAAACAAACATACAAGCGTTGAGCCATTTGCAAACAAGTTGTCTCTTTGCAATTGTCTAATATATGCACAGCAGCCAGTAGAATTCCCCTTTTTATTTTTTTTTCCCCGCAGACCATCTTGATTCAAAACATCTATCGTAATCCCCAAAACAGTGCACAGACGGCTGACGGCTCACACTGTAAGTCCCACAGTTGGAGAAATTTTTTTAAAACAATGGTGTTAAAGAGCCCACTCTTAATTGAGACACATAATGTTGGCTTCTGAGCTGCTGACATAGAGCTGTTGCAAACAGGACAAGGTGGTGGAAGTCCTTGGCGTATACAGCAAGGACTTGATACTTGGCTGCGTTCAGGAGGCTGTCCTAGGGAAGGTCGCTGACCAGGTCTCTTCCCTTGATTGACATTTGTTAACAAGAAGGGATCTGTCCATGTGACATTTTAACATTATCAGCCATCATTGGTCTTTACAATGACTGAACCCGGGCATTTATTGAGTTCTTTCTGTAAAACTAATAATTTTAGGAATATTTAGGGATCAATAAGGTAAGTTGCCCAATAAGTGTGGGTTTATTTCAACTATGATTTTTCTTCTAGGAAATGGAGATTTCATGATATGTGATTATTGTATTTCTCTAATACAGTAATTGTGTCATTGGTTCATATGGGCACTTTTTCTTTCCCAGTTGTCCATTGAAAGTTTTTCTAAGAATGTTTTGGTAGTAGCCTGCTGAGTTATTTGCACTCTTACCTGGCTTGGAACTTTGAAATGGAGAATGTTTACGCTCTGTGAACAGAAATACAATACTGGCATATCATGAGATCTCTGCATTGCAGTGCTAGGGTGCTCCGAGACCGCCATCAGCTACGAAAACATCTCTCCATCGAAAGAAATAACTTGCTTTTTTTCAGCACTGAGTCTTGACTGAAGCGATCGCCACAGGAAGCCGGTTAAGTGTTTACATTTAATTTTCCATAATATAAAGTTGTTGCGTTTTGTATTTCAGACCATTGCCCTCTTGAACATTTACCGTAACCCTCAAAACTCTTCCCAGTCTGCTGACGGTTTGCGCTGTAAGTTCATACAAGTTCCTTCCCTGGTTCCCTGGGCTTACGTGTCAGAGCTCAGCGTCCACTCCACCTGGTCTGCCGCTTCCACTAGAAGAGTCAAGAGCTTTTGTCCCACTGACCCTGACCCCATGGAAACCTCTGTCAGAGATTTGAACTGCTGCCCACTTACTTAAAACGCAAAAAGATGACTGTGAAGGGCACCCTTTACAATAGCTTGGAGCTGCCGCTCTCTCCTTTACCTTGGCTCTCATCCCAGGGGAGAATTTCCGTGGAGTTAAGTGTGGAGTTGTGTTCGTCCCTCTGAGAGCAACAGTATTTGAAAGTTTCTCTCACCTAAAAAAATTGTTCTGAAATTACTTTTCAGATTTTTATTTCTTATTAGACATTTCCCCCTTAAACTCTATTTTGGAGCTCATGCTCTGAGAGCATTGTTCTGGGAATGTTTCCAAAGCAAGGGTCCCAAGTTGCAGTGACCCCTAAGTTTCCTCAGCATCAGCCCTGTGCTCACTCAGTCTTTAACCGGAATACTTTATGTAGGTATCTCCAACTTCAGGAGGTAGTTCACTGCATTTGGAAAATGTGGGGTACTTGGTGGGGAAATAGATCTAAACTGGGCACTCAGTAGACATTACTGATTTCTTCTTTTGGTAGACATTAGTTTAAGTTTTGAACGTTGTCAAGAACAGGATATATATTAGAATCATTGGAAAATTCAAAAAACTAAAGCAGATTTTTAGAATTGTTGAGCTGTAGATCAGTGTAGTCACCTGGGGGTAAATTGAAACGAACATCCTGGCCTCCTATTAAAATCAAGGGGTCCAAGCCACAGTTTGTTTGAAAGCTGTGAACATTAATAGAAGACGCTAGCAAAGGTAACCTGGTAGCACAGACCTAACTCCAGTGCAGCCTTGTCCCAGAGCCGTCAGTTTATGGGTGGCCTGCACTGGGTGGGATGGTCCCAGCAGCCACCACCCAGGCTTCCTTGTCCCACACTGGAGGTCTCCCAGTTATATGCCTGCACACACAGGAGCTCCCATGTCTGCGGGGTGGGGCTGTCTTGTCAAGTTTTTCTTCCCAGACACTAAATGTTTTGAGTTGCTAATACTGACCTGACAGTAGAGAAGTCTTTTCCCATATCTGAGGGTGGCAGGATTGATTAGTAGCCAATGGTTTAAAATACCTGGTTTTTGTTTTGTTCTCTTAAGAAGTAAGATCAATTAGATGGAGGGAAATGTTTATATATGGACTTAACTTAAAATTAAATGAGTGACAAGTAGATAACGGAGTAACAACAATTCACAGTTCTTTGCCCTACTTGTTTACTTGGGGACTGCGGGTTCTTTATTGGCAAAAGAATGTTGTGTTAGTTTTCTTGGTGTCTTTATTTGTGATTCACAGGGCTCTTGTTCTGCATATGCTACAAAATAAAAGTTTAGCTATATCAAATATTCCAGTTCTGGGGTCCAGATTGTATAAATTAAATGAGATTCTGATTCTGCAGTTTAAAAAAAATCAATTTAAGTTGATAAGCCTGAAATATTTGGCATCAGACCCTTTCAGTAAATTTCAGTCAGCTGGGTTCATCAGTTTTCCTAATACTAATGGTTCTTTTGACCATATCCATTCATCTGTAGAAAAATAAGTTTTCTGTGCTTTGGTTACACTTAATAGTGAATCCCAGTTTAAGAATGTTTCTGTACAAAAATTCGGTATTTTTCAGATTGTATTACTTAAAATAGATTGAGTCATGTAAATTATGTTTTAGTTTATTAGTTTTTAATCACTCATCTCTGCCTTTCAAGTCATTTTGATTGACTCAAAAATTTATAAAAGATAAAATATGCCCACATTCAAGCATTTTTAAATAGTTTCCTAGAAGTTACGGAAATATAATACTCCATGTTATAAAGAACAGAATAGGACGGTCATGATCAGCTGGTACTAGAGCCGCCACCCGACTGAATTGTCATTGCTCCTCAAGCTGAGGGTGTAGAGGCTTTCCCTCTGTTCTTGCTTTTCTTGATGTGGGGAAGGAGTGAGTTTAAGCACTGCCTGCCCTTTGGAACGGCTCCTCCGTTTGGAACCTGTCTCTCCTCAGGGAGGAGGTGTGTTCCTGATTGCTTCCCACTGGGATGGGCCATCAAGAGGAGTAGTAGTTGCCTGTGCTCAGTAAGTGTGGGTTCTGAACTGAGCTGGATTCCATAAACTCAAAACCACCCAAATGCAGGGAGGCTAAGTGTTAGACAGTAAACTTAAATCACTTTCAGAATCGAAAGATTAAAGTTCTTACCATAAGATAAAAAGGTTTTCAGGTCATGTAGGAACCGGCTCAGAGACAGCAGTCTGGGTAGAGAGCCCTGTGCCACAGCTCAGGTCCCTCAGTGGGTTCCCAGGGGAGGCCATTTGTCCAGGAGCCTGGCCCAGCCTAACAGCCTCTCGGCGTCCTGGGCTCCCTGGGCCAACTGTTTGGAATATCAGTTTATTGACACACCAGCTCGGTGACTTCTCAGATTTAGGTTAGGAGAACTTTAAAAATTGATTAAAGAGGTGATAATGGAGATAGAATGGAAATGTGTAAAATCCACCCACAGAATGTGCATGATTTCATTTAGTGCATGTAGGTTATGAAAAAGTAAATGAGGAAAATAGAAAATAAGAATGCTTTCTTCAACAAAGTATTGTAATTTTCCATTTACTCAAGGGGCATTCAAAATACTGTAATGGAACTTGGTAACTGTCCTACTGAGTATTTATGGTCATTTGGGTTTTAATCGCATCAGAAATAATTTTATAGCATCTGTGTGGCTGATAACCACTGAAAGAAACGAGTCAGGAGCATAAGCTTTTAATCACTCATCCTGATTCAGCTTTCATTGTAACCTAATTGGAGGGGTGGGGGGAGGAGCATTAATTGGCCTCTTTTTTAAATTTTTGCATTAAAAATTTTTTTGAGCAACCTTTTCCTTAAGATACTTTGTGAAAATGTGACCCTTTGATGCTGATTAAAACTTGTGTGGTTTTAATAGCCAGAATGGAGACTGTCATAGGGCATTTAAAAGTCTCCCCACACTTTAAGATTTTAACACTTGACCTTGTGATGCAGTCTCGTCAGTGCTCCAGTAGAACGTACTTCTGTCGGGTTCTCTCTTTAGATAATCTAATGTGTGTCACTGTAGCAGGTTGATTTAAGCACAAGTTTTAATTGGCCACAGCCCCTGCGCTAACCGGCAAGATTTCTGTTGTTTGCAGGTGCTGTGAGCGATGTCGAGATGCAGGAACACTATGATGAGTTTTTTGAGGTGAGATTGACTATTTGAGACTGATAGACCTATTCACCTTTATCTGTTTGGGGGAATTAAAATCTGTCTCTATTAATAAAAATACTAAAAGATTCATTGTGTTCAATTCTTCTTTTATCTTTAACGCGATCATGATCCTTAAACCACCGTTTTTCTTCCAGGAGGTTTTCACAGAAATGGAGGAGAAGTACGGTGAGGTGGAGGAGATGAATGTCTGTGATAACCTTGGAGATCACCTCGTTGGAAACGTGTATGTGAAGGTACGTGGAAGGTGACAGGTGGGAGTTTGGGGGAAGGATAAGGAATGCTCACCTTATTGTTTTAGCTTTTAACCTTGCCCGAATGCTTCTTGCTGTTGAACTTGTGCACGTGCTGGAGCCGGCCTGTGGTTGTAGGGAGGAGGGCAGACTGCCAGGGTCCTGCATCATCCTTTCAGGTCGGGCACCTTCATACCTGTTGGTTAGAGGCTGTTTGAACTGGGGAGAAGTCGGTTTATATGGTTTCTTTTTTTTATTATTGATTTTAGAGAGGGACAGAGAGAAACATCAATTGGCTGCCCTCTGCACACCACGCCCCCCACTAGGGATTGAGCCCAAAACCTGGGCATGTGTCCTGACTGGGTATCGAACAGAACTGGTGACCTCTTGGTTCATGGGTCAATGCTCAACCACTGAGCCACACAGGCCAGGCCTTTTTTTTTTTTTTTTTTTAATGATGTTTATTGCCTACACAAATCATTACATTTGCTCTTTTAACCAATTGAATTGGAAAATCAAGATAACGTATTTGGCATGATTTTGGACCATCACAAGGTTAAATAGTCTAATTGTAAATTGAGGGTTGTCTGATTTTAATTGCACTACGTTATTCCACCTTAATTGCTTTATCTGCATAAGCGCACAGCATGTATTTGGATCAATGATTGAAAATGTGTTATTAAAGTGTGGCGGCAAGCATTTTTGTTGTCTTTTCAGTTTCGCCGTGAAGAAGATGCGGAGAAAGCTGTGATTGATTTGAACAACCGCTGGTTCAACGGGCAGCCCATCCACGCTGAGCTTTCCCCCGTGACCGACTTCCGGGAAGCCTGTTGCCGCCAATATGAAATGGGGTAGGTATGGACAGCCTGCCCGCTAGGGAGGTAGAGGAAGGGCGTGGTTATGCGGTGTGATGTTCATCTGGCTCTCCCCTCCAGAGAGTGTACACGAGGCGGCTTCTGCAACTTGATGCATCTGAAGCCCATTTCCAGAGAGCTGCGGCGGGAGCTGTATGGGCGCCGGCGCAAGAAGTGAGTGTTTCAGTGTGTCCATTATGTCACTTCCTTTGCGTGTATGTGGGGGGGGGGCGGTCCCAAATATATATATTATTTTTACTTATTAGTTTTTAAGTAAAGTTTGGCCTGAATGTCATCTCTGTTTAAAATGGAACTGCTTAGGCCCCAGCTGATTTGGCTCAGTGGATAGAGTGTTGGCTTATGGTCCAAAGGGTCCTGGGTTCAATTCTGGTCAAGGGCAAGTACCTTAGTTGCAGGTTCCCAGCCCTGGTCAGGGGCATGCAGGAGGCAACCAGTCGATGTTTCTCACATTGGTGCTTCGCTCTGTCTCTCCCTCTCCCTTCTACTCTAAAAATCAATGAAAAAAATATCCTTAGGTGAGGATGGATGGATAAATAAATAAATGGCACTGCTTAGAATGTAGAACAATTTTTTAAAATATATTTTTATTGATTTCAGAGGGTAAGAGAGAGGGAGAGATAGAAACATCACTGATAGAGAATCATTGGCTGCCTCCTGCACGCCCCACACTGGTGATCGAGCCCGCAGCCCAGGCATATGCCCTGGCTGGGAATCAAACTGTGATCTCCTGGTTCATAGGTTGTTGCTCAACCACTGAACCACACCAACCGGGCATGTAGTACATATTTTAAATTACAAAAATGTACTCTATATTAAAATGTGCTCTTTGAAAAATATTCTGTGCGCATATTTTACTGCTTAAGGAGAGATCAAACCTCAGCAGCTAACCAAGGAAATGGCTAGTGGGATCGATGAAAATGAGTTCCTGTGTGCAGTGTTCTATTCTTTCGTCGAAAGTCATCACTTCCTTCACATACTGCATGTCTCCATTGGGATACCTTGGTTTTGGTGGGTTTGGTAGGTTTCTTGGCATTCCCCTGTGGACCACTGGCAGAATCTAGCAGTCGTATCTGTCTGGTCCTGGTATTTAAATGCAAGCAGTCATGTCATAAAACAGAGAGAACCCCGATGTCAGAGGGTATAATGAGTCACTTTTCCTATGAAGATTGAGTTCTGACCCCAGAGGGATTTTCTCCTAACATACGATAGGAAATGCTGACATTGTGATTCTGTCCTATTATCAACAAAAACAAACATAGAAGAGAAAGAACCCTGCCCTCCCCATCCAGAAATCAGCTTAATGCCACCATACCTCTCAATTCTGAGATGCCCTTTTCCCCCAGACACGTTATTATCTGAAATTAGGGCTCATATTATAGTTGCAGCTTGCAGTTAAATTGACAGCATTTTTCTTTTTTATTAACATCTTCGATTCTGTGGGATACAGTACTTGAAAGTGTTAGTCGCTGTGGTTTTATGTTGCATTTTTTTCATTTTGATGCCAAGGTTTTGTTTCTTTTCCTTTGTTTCAGGCATCGATCGAGGTCCCGGTCCCGGGAGCGTCGCTCTCGGTCTAGAGACCGTGGTCGTGGCGGTGGCGGAGGTGGTGGCGGAGGCGGTGGGGGACGGGAGCGTGACAGGAGGCGGTCAAGAGATCGTGAGAGATCTGGGCGATTCTGAGCCAGGCCATTTTTATCGTATGTCTGCTAGAAAGTGTTGTAGTTGATTGACCAAACCAGTTCATAATGGGAATTTTTTTAAAAAACAATTTAAAAAAACAAAGATGGGTTTCTGAATAAAATTTGTAGTGATAACAGTATTCTTGTAACTTTTTTCTTGTGGAAACTCCACTTTAAATCTCTCTTCCTTTACAGACCTGCACATCATCAGCCCTTGAAGTGAAGATTAATCTACATCAATCACTTTGGGTAGAAATGAAACCATACTTTTTCTTGTTTTTAATGTTTTTATTGATTTCAGAGAGGAATAGAAATATCAAAGAGAGAGAATCATTAATCAGCCATCTGCACACCTCCTACTGGGTATCAAGCCTGCAACCCAGGCATGTGCCCTGACCAGGAATCTGACCATGACCTCCTGGCTCATGGGTCAACCCTCAACCATTGAGCTACACCAGCTGGGCTGTTGATTGATTTTAGAGAGAGGAAGGGAGAGGGAACAAGAGAGATACCTGGATGTGAGTTGCCTCCTATACCCACTTGATGGGGTATTGAACCCACAATCTGGGCATGTACTCTGACCTGGCATCAAACTGGTGACCTTTTGGTGCATAGGATGACGCTCAACCAACTGAGCCACACCAGCCAGAGTTGAAACCCTATTTTAAATTTAGGTTCTAAAACAAAACACCAGTTGAAGTAAAATTCACATGAGAAAAGGCCAGATCTGTTTCTAGTTATGTACATATTAACCAGTAGCCCAGAATTTCTCTTCTGAGGCTGAGTAGAGGTGAGGAAAGCCTGTGAGGCCCCTTTACTTACTACTTAGTAAGTAAATGCTTAGACGTCATTCTCTGTAGAGTACACTGGCGTTGATAGGGAAGCTAATCTTGGGACACAGTGCAGTCAGCGTTATATCTCTCCATTGAGTTGTCTAGTGTTGCTTTGAGAACCACCGTGCACTCCTAAAACATGGGTGTGCATAAAACAGGAACGTGCTTGTGCAGCCCAGGAGCTAGTGATGGGTCACCTGTCATGTCACAGCTGACTATGTTGTTAAATGACTGGGTTCACGTGGACTCAGAAGCCTACCGTGCAGACCTGCTTTTCCGCGTGCCCAAAGTGAGCAAGACGGGTGAATGCCTCGTCAGCATTAGCAGAATCCAGCTGGCATTTCAGGAGAGAAATAAGCAAGGCCTCTCCCCTTGAGATGTGGACGCTTAAGTAGGAGAGGTGTTCAGAAGACCAGGCCCACTGTGAATTCTTAGGTCTGGACAAGCAACTTGGGAAGAAGGCTGGGGTCCATCCAGGGTGTGGGCTCAGATCTGAAGTCTTTGGAAGTGGCCAGATGAACTGGGCCATGGAGGTTGAGCTCCCTTGCCAATCCACACACAGGCAGAGGGCCTTGTAGCAGACAGGGAACAAAGGAAGGAAGGGGGCCTCAGGGGATTGGGCTTGCTCCCTGCTAATCCACTTGGCCTTTTGAGAAATAGGAACCAGCATTGGAAACAGCAGGTCAGTTGATCAGGCTGTCCCAGTGCAGGCACCACGAAATGCAGTGAAGTAGTTTCAGTCATCACAAAGATGTATTGACTATGTTATTAGGAGTGGCTGGCTACACAAGGTGTCCCCTTCACACCGGTCAGAGTGGCTAGCAAAAAAAAATTATTTGATGGCAATGTGGAGAAAATAGAACTCTCGTGGAATTGTAAAACTGGATTCCTCAAAAAAAATTAAGAATATAAAGACCATATGATGCAGCAATGACTCATGTATGACTGTCCAAAGAAAACGAAAACACTAACTTGAAAAGATGTGTGTACCCCAAGTTCATTGCAGCATTATTTACAATAGCCAAGAAATGAAAACAACCTAGGTGTCTATAGATGAATGGATAAAGCAGATGCGATACATATATACAATGGAATGTTGTGGAATCTAAAAACAAAACATGAATAAACAAACACCCATAGATACATAGGACAAACTGGTGGTTGCCAAAGGGGAGAGGGATTGGGGGTGCTAGGTGAAAATTGGAAAAGATGAGTTCAGTTTTAGAATAGTGAGATGCATGTGAAAACTGTGTCCTACAAGGTGTTAGGTCATAGAAGTAAATACAGTATTCATTGGAGAAAACAAAGGCCCACACAGCAACCACCTTCATGGGTCAGCCGTACTTGACGCTTAAGTCTGGTTTAAGGAAGAGTCCAGAGGCAAACATCCTGGTGAGGACTGCCAGAATCCAGACCGGCCCTCCGGCCAGGAAGCCCTTTGCTGCAGGAAACCAGTCAGCATTTGTAATTTGGTTTCATTTTTATTTTATTAAGAGCTACATAGACTTCACTGAACAGTCTTGCCTATGTTTGAACTTTTATGTAGATGGATTTATATTATTTTGTCTTTCTTTTGCTCAGCTTGTTCGTAATATTCAGTATGTTGGACACAGCTAACTTGAAGTTTGCAGCTTGAGGTATAGCAGTGTGGTTAGAGAAGAATAGAATAGTTAATACGTGGTGCTGGCATAACTGACTACCCGGAAAAACAGGAGAAAGAAGGAAGAGGGCCCTCCTGGATGGCGGAGGGAACTGGAGGCAAATTCCACGGCCGGAATGAGCTTGGGCTTGCAAAGCTCAGGATAGGCTGGGACAAGGGCGAGGGTGTGCTGTGGAGATGCGACCCTGCTGCCTGGGCAGCTCATGCCCTCGGGCGCCCAGTGGGGCAGCCCTTCTGGGATGGAGCCTCTGATCAGAAAGACTCAGATTTCAGTTTTGCCTTTTCAGTCCTGGAGTGGGAGGCCGGTCACTCGGGCTTCAGATGAACAATGAGGTTGGGCACCTTGTTCTGGCCATTTGTATGTCGATGAACCCTCTTCAAGTCTTTGCCCGTTTTTCTTCCCCTCGTTGAGTGAGTGGGCTGTCTTTTTCTTATTTCTAGGAGTTGTGTACATAGTCTGGAGAGGAGTCTTCTGTTGATGTGTATTTGTCCCAGTCTGTGGCTTGCCCTCTCCCTCTCGGTGGGTTGGATGACTGTGTGTCCTTGAACATAACCTGATCCAACTTACGCATCTTGCACATGTGGACAGAGCTTTCTGGGGCCTGCCCCCAAAGGCGTTAACCTCCGTGGATTTTTTTCACTTTATAAACTTTATTATCGATAAAGCTGATTGGAGAACATGAATTTGGATTTTAAGGTCCAAAAAATTTGTAATGTCATCTCTATTCATGGTTTGACCTTGGGACAACCCATCTGAAGGACAGCCTAGGTCTGCAGAGCAGCACGGCCCCCAGGATGGCCCCCTTGTATCAGACGGGAGGGGAGAGAAGAGAGCAAGTCCCCAGAGTTGGGCACCTTGTGAACAAACCAGTGTCCTGCAGCCAGGACATAGGGGCAGGTTAGTGTCGGAGCCTCATCACCCGCCCAGCAGACACTGCACACCTGGCGAGGAGGGGCGAGCGCCTCTGGGTAGATGTTGCTTCCTCTTGGACTGAACGGAAGGCCCCTCCCCACCTGTGTTCCCTGGGGTCCTCAGCCCACTGGATGGAAGCCAGGGTGGGCTGGGAGGGCACCAACCCTTGTCAAGGCTGTCCCCTCACCCACTGCTCCTCTGGCTCCTGGTTCCATGACTTCTGGCTTCCACCCAAGAATGTTTTGAACAGCTGAGAACCCTGCAATAATTAACCCAAGGGTTCAGTCTCCCTGGCCAGGGAGACTCCCAGCAGCTGGGCAGGAGACCAAATGAGAACAGAAGCAGCCATCTAAACTGCTGGGCTTGGGAAAACACAACTTCTAGGTTGAGCTTCTGAGACAGAACACAGTCCCTGTCTACAGCCCAAGGCCTTGTTCCCCCTCCTGCGGCCAACCAGGTGGCCGCCTTCCCGTGCACCTGTGGCAGGAGTGGCAGGACAAGCCTGAAAAACAGCCACTGAAGTCCACGTAGCCATCGGGAGAGGTCCCTGCCCAGAGATCTGTCAGACAGTGTGTGAGGTCACTCGCTCGGTGCCTGCGCCTGGTGGGTTTTGGCTGGCTGGATGACTCGGGGAGATGGGGTAGCGTGGCCCTTAGGGAGGGGACCTTTCCTTTCTCCCTCGTAGGACTTACTATTAGAGGGAGCACAAGAGTTCTCACGCCCACCCCCCAGGTCCCCCATCTCAGGACAGACTGCAGTCTTTTGCTCAGAAGATGCCACACCATCCAGGTGCACTTGGCTCCCCGACAGCCGGTGTGTCCTTGGGGAGCATGTTCAAACCTGACACAGCAGAACCTGAGAAAACCCCCATCTGAATCTGGCGACAAATATTCAGGCACCTGCTTCAGATCTCAGGTCTTTTTTTTTTTTTTTTTTTTTTTTAACAAGTTGGGTCACATGAATTTACCATTTTTTTTGTGGGTCACAAAAGCTCATTTCATATGGTTCAACCTAACATATCCCAGGATTGGGCTGATGGCCATTGCAGGAGCGGTGAGAAGCTCAGTGGGAGAGGCAGGGCAGGAGTCGAATCCCAGGTCTGAGTCCTGGCTCCACTCCTCACTGGCTGCAGACTGGCCTCTGTGCCTCATTGTCCTGCCCTGCAAAGTGATGATCAAATAGCACCCACTCCTTTGATTGTTATGAGACTCCACTAGTTAATACAGGTACAGCTTCCAGAACAGTGCCTGGCACGTGCCTAGTGAGAGCTCAGTAATGGTTAGTAGTTTGTGGGAACAGTGTTAGTAACTGAAGGCAGGTATGGGTGGTGGAGAGGACAGCAGAGGAATAAGTAGCCACCCTAATAGTCCTGTCTTAGAAAGCGAATAGTTGACAGATGGTGTAAAAAGTTACTGAGTACAAAACTTGTATTCTAAAAGTGACAAAACCGTTGGAAAAATAAAGTAGACCTGCCCTGGTTGGTTTGGCTCAGTGGATAGAGTGTCGGCCTGTGAACTGAAGGGTCCCGGGTTCGATTCCAGGCAAGGGCATATGCCCGAGTTGTGGGCTTGATCCCCAGTAGGGGGTGTGCAGGAGGCAGCCAATCAATGATTCTCTCTCATCATTGATATTTTGCTTTCTCCCTCTCCTCCCTGAAATCAATAAAAATATATATTTTTTAAAAAGTTGGAAGACTTCACTTCCTGATTTCAAAACTCAGTGCAACATTAAAGT